AGTTTCCACCATTGCCACAAGTTCCAGTCTTTGGTGTAGAAGTATTCATAGTTGTTGTATTCCTTGAAATATTTCGAGTAGTCCTTGTACATGAAGTCCTTGTATTCCTTCTCGTACATATTGTACTTGCTCCAAACATCATAATCGAATTTCTCAGCTTCATAGATGAATTTGCTGTTAAAGAAATACTGAGGGAAGATTTCATAGATTGCAGGCAACATCAAGCCTTCGAAGTCATCACGGTGGATAACAGCCAATGTCAGAGCTTGAACAAACATGCCTTCATTGGCGTACAAGCGGGCCCAGCAGACGTTGCGTTGGAAGATTTCCCAGTTCTTGGCATAGTAGAAGAATTCAAACAAACCATACATTTGTTCGAAATGGGTGTAGGCCAAGGAGCCGAAATATTCTCCCTTGGGTAAGGTGACACCATATTTAAAGGCTTAATAGTATTTCTTCATATATTCACTGTGTTTCTCAGGGAACTGGAAATCATAAGAGTATTAAATTATTAGAAGACATTTGTTATGATATATTATTTACCGTATAGTCATCTTTGTTAAAGCTGAAAGTCTTGCCCAACTTAATGTATTCCTCAAACATTAAGGGATCTTCGACCCGATAAACAATTTCGAAAAGGAATTTTTGTTTGGCCAAAAACTCCTTGTCAGCGTATTTAGTGGCAAAAGCATTTACTACCACAAGGCCAGCAATGGCCAATAAGGCAATGGCAATTCTCATCGTCTTTTCAATTTCAGCTAAGTCACGCGTTATTTGTGAATAGTCAATCTTCGCCGATTGTTGGTGTTTGAGAATTTCAGGTTGGGTTTTTATATTATTTTGATCTTCATAATCCAGGTAGTTTTATTTGTTTTTTTTTTTTTTTTTTTTTTTTTTTTGGATTTTGTGGTAATACATTTGTCAATTCGACTTTGACATTGACCTTAATGTTGTTATTGCTTTTAAAGTTGATAAGAAAAATTTGTTTGATGTTCATAGTGCGTTCGAGAATTTTGATAAGAGATTTGTTATGGTTTGAATAATGTTCTAATTTTTTTTATAATAATATGCATCTATTTTTTTTATTATTTGTTGTTGAAACGCAATGTCATAGTGCCATGCATAAATTTATTTATTTTATTAAGCGTGATAAAAATATATTAGAAGTATGGAAAGATTTTGTTTGTGTAATACTATAACAATTTAAAAATAAAAAAAATTAGTGTGTATGTGTTTTCCATAGCACCAAAGAATCTTTCTCTTTAACCTAAAATCCAAAAAATATATAAGGATCTTTCTTAGATATGGCAAGAATCCTTAGACATACACTAAAATGGGCGAAATGTTTACTGACGTTAAAAGGAAAAGTTGGACTAAAAACAAATTGGCGGCTTTAAAAAACACCTCAAACTTTTTCAAACTATCAATTTGCTTGGGTTGCATAAGAACTTTGAAAAAGTGGTTCCCATGAAGTCTCGCCGTACCTAATTTGATAAAATTCCATATGTAAGGCAAGGTAAGGTTTTGTTGGCGACATTTGACATTTGATACATGATACATCACATTTGACATTTGATATAGGAATTAAGTTTGGGAAGCATGGTTAGTATAAGGCGGTGGTTTTGGAAATGTCCACTAAGTGTAGGAACTGTACTAAATGATCCTAAACTTGGTACACTTTGGTTGTGGGTGTACAGATGGAGCTGGAAATTTAAAATTTTGGTACTGAAGTAACTGCTCGTGTGTATGGTTAAAATTAAGCTGTGGTTTTGAAAATGCGTACCACAAGTATACCAATTATAGATTGTACTAGTCGGTACCGCTATAAGGAATCACGTCAAAATTCGTTAATAAGAGCTTCCTAGGCTGAATTTCACAACAGCTTAATCTAAATAGAATTTTAATCTGACTAAGAATACAAATATTTGTAGGTTGGTTTGGTACTCAATTTTCGTTCAATGACATTGTGAAATGAAAATAATTATAAAAGAGAGAATTGTAAATTGGAACCTTTTTATAAAGAAAATATTTTTAATTTCATGTTTTCATAGCAAAAGAATTCAGCCGCTGGTTCACATTATTATTCTGGATGCGGAAATTATTAGAAATACCAAATAATTATTATATAGAGGTTATAGCAAACATCCAATTATAGGCTCTTCGGATAAAGATACATAGAGTCAGCCGTTCTTATTATTATTGGTTTAGTGAAAACATCAAAATGTCGATTGGGAAACTTATGATATCGAAGTATTCTACTTATTGTGAGTTATAATGAGTATATTACAACTAGGTCTAGGAACTTCATCATGACCAAAACCAACCGGTATCAATTTATAGCATATATGTCAAAACACGGAACTACGTTGACCTTTTTCAATACCAATTATCGTAAATGTGCGACAAGTGGCTGTTTTATTAATTTATCTTTAATATTGTGCTTTTGAGAGAAATAGATGGAAAAGTTTACAACAATTGTTAGATTGATCTCAGTTGCAAGCCATAAAGTGAAATACAGGGTGAGATAAAAAAAAACTTCAACAAAGTCAAACGTCATAATATTTATTTTTTTTTTTTAATTTTATTAAATGAAGCTAAAAATTTCGAATAAAAAGTTTTAGAATAAGTTTAGATTTGTTCGAATTGGTCACCTTTGGCACGAATTATGGCCTTCAACGTCACACGCAGCCCGTATGTTGCTCTGCGGTATTTTGGCCCATTTCCGGCGAAGCGCTTAACTTGAGGTGATCGACACTTTAGTATTTTTTAGTGCCAACCTTGCTTTCCAAAATACTCCAGACACAATAGTACAAGGGATTGGTATCCGGAGATTTTGGTGGCCATTGTGCGCTGGAAATGAAGCGAGGAACCTTATTTTGTAACCATTCTTGGATGGAGGGTGCTGAGTGCCATGGTGCTGGTGTTGGAATGTCCAAGGTCTGCGGTCAAAATGTTTGCGTGCCCAAGGCTTTAATACACCCTCCAGAATATTTTCGCGATAATATTTGGTATTTATTCTGATGCTGCGGCCGATTAATACGAGCCGAGAGCGACCATCGGCTGTTATGGCGGCCCACATCATTACCATGGCCCACACTTAAGTTCTGGTGGCCAACCGATGGTGCACATTTTCAGCTGACCTCTTTGGCAAGTAAACATGATTAATGTGTTTGTTTACTACTGCTGAACAACGAATGTTTTCTCATCGGAGAAAACTAAATTCGGCAGTTCACCACTTTCGGCCAAGCGAAGCAACTCTTTAGCTCTTTTGAGTCTATTTTCTTTCTTGTGAGGTGTAAGTTCTTGCACTTTTTTGGAATTTCAATAGCTTTACCCCGAGTTAATTTTTCAATATTTGCCGAATGGAATATTGCGATATATTCAGCTCACGCGGAATTTTTCGGCCACTGCGACGCGGGTTTCGATCAAGTCGCTTCTTTATTTTTCGAACCATTTGTACTGATGTTGCTGTTTTCTTCCGTCCATTTCCTTGAAGTCGGGCTACTCCACCAGTATCACGGTAACACGCGATGGTACGAGACACAAAAGATTAATTCACATTTAAATGTTGGAGTGCTCCAACGATAGCCACTTGTGGTATTCCAGCCAAATATAAAGAAATCACACCGTCACGTTTGAATTCCATCACGAATAACTTTTTTCTGGAAAATTCTCACCAAAATGATTTTGTTCACTTATAAACAATATACTGAGCTGTCACTGGAATAATTTTCACCGCTGTCGAACGAGTGGTTTAGAAATGACAGCAGTATGAATTTGGTTAGAGTTATTTCATCTCACCCTGTAATTATTAACAATTAAAACGGCGAACCACTAACGAGGACCGTGTCAACTACTTAAGTATAATTCAATACTTGGGTAACTAATTGTTTATTATATCATACTTACCATAACTCTGCACTCCATCAGAAACCTTTCAATCAATATTGTAATTATGCAATTACTAAATGTATATCTTCAGTATTCTTTAAGTTCTGCTGTTTTTTTTTTTATTATTGTAAGGTCAATATTATTATATCAGTTGCGCACCAATATTAATCGAAAAATTCAGAATTACACGTTGCATGGTACCTTTTTGTATCCCTTTTAGTTCGCATTTCTAAATTACCAGCCATATACTACCCTGCACTTTAATTGTAATCAAAATTCTGCCTTATTTTGTTCACCAGCTACTATAGCACAGCATTTCCTACCTTTCAGTACCCCCTTATTTCCAAGGGTATGGTCAATTCTGACAACTATACACTATGGGTGTTCTCCGTTACAAATTCCAGTATACGCACTCGCTAAACACCATCATCTCCGGAATTCTAATTTTACCTTCACGATAAATACCTTAACAGCACAATTTGTACTGTACTTCAGAATTCTAGTTTTATCGAAGTACCATGATATATAATTTCGTACTTTCGCACACGTTAATGCTCCCCAACTGTGATCCAAAATCTAGCATTATATGGTTCAATTTATTTATTTATTTTTTTTTTTTTTTGGTACACATTTAGTGCGAATTTCGAAAGATGCAGTAACCCACATGCTAAATTGGTAAATTCTACCGCTGTGGCACAGCATTAAGTACGTCTTAGTACTTTTCTTGGGTTTGCAATGTTCACATTTTACTCCCACTAGATAATTCTTGTTTTACTCTTTCAATTAAACCCGTATCGAAAGAATTAGATACATTTTAGTACTATTTGCACCAGTGTAGTTTGAATTTTCAAAAAACATATATTTTAAGCCTTTGTCTTTAGCTTCATATAATTTTTGTACTTTTAGTACCATTTCAGTTAGAATTTCCATGTCCCAGCGTTATCTCACCCATTGCAAGTTTCTAGCTTCTTGGACTTTTATATGGCAGTAAAAGTTTCCATTCCAAAACATATGTACAAATGTAACCAATTTTAATAATATGTCATAAAAGTATTTTAAACATTAACATCAAAGTCGCCCCCAAATTCAGGTAACAAACAATAATAGACTTTTATTTTTAGATATTTTTTTTTTATTTTTTATTTTATTTCGTTTCTTTGCTTCAAAAGTATTTTTTAACTAAATCACATAACTTGTTTAACCAATTAATAGTTGTAGTAGTAACCGTAATCGAATGAACCGAAATGTTCGTACTCATGTCCGTAGTATTTTTCGAAGGTATCTTGATGGTAGATCTTGACATCCTTGAAGTACATGTTGGGTACAAAGAATTCAAATTCATTGATTTCACGATCGAAAGGATAACCGAAAGGCATTTCATCGATGTGACGGACACCAGAGCCGATGCCGCAAGTGTAGTTGTAGTCATAAGAGTAGGGCTCGTAAGAGGCCTTGAAGGGATAGACGTAGAAGGCGAATTGCATGGGCATACCCTTAGCCCAGCCCTTAGGCAAGACCAAACGATCGGGGAAGCCACAGTGGGGCTCAGAGTAATCCATGGGGAATTCATATTTGCCTTCGTAGGCCATCATGACGAACTTGTACATCTCAGTGTAGGTGGTGCGGTCATCTGTGGTCCAATAGAAGTCCTTGGAGCTGCGCTTGAAGGTGTTGACACCAGCCTTAAGGTCATAGTAGAATTCATCGATTTCGAAGAAGTTTTCGCGATTTTCATTCAATGAGATCACGCGGCCGTATTCATCATATTTGGGACCCAAGAAGGCACGAATGACAACCTTTTGATCCTTGTCGGACTTGATGCTGTAGTCGAACTCGAAGGCTTTGTGGTTTAGACGCATTTGACGAGCCAACAGAGTCTTGTCCCAAACGAATTCACCATCGACGAAGGTCATCTTGTCGTTCAACAAGTTGGTGACATCGAAATCGTACAAATCGAAGTAGGTTACCAAGTCACTGATCTCAACACTCTCGAAGGTCACTCCTGGGAAGTACAGTTCTTCATAGGTGTAGGGATCAATGTATTCGTAGAACTGATAGAAGACATCGGAGACCTTCTTGTAGAACATGTAGAACAAAGGATCGCGCATCATGGTTTCGTAGTTCATAAATACATTGGGATGGAAGTAGTAGTCATCCTCTTCGACATGAGAAATGAACATATGGGCATACATGTACCAGAAAGTGGCGAAGTACTTATCGTAGGCATCAACATTGCCCTGCATCATATCGCCGAGGTATTCAATGGCTTCAGGTTTGCGCATGTCGATCTTCTTGCCGTCATAGGTTGTGTAGTATCCCTCAGTGATGATGGTTTCAACACGCTTGAAGAAAGCAAGCATCTTGTAGACGTATTCAAAGTTGCCGTAGGTCACATATTCGTAATAGTTCTTGCGGTAAGAGTAACCCACACCGCGGTAGTCCACCAATTGAGGATCGTAACCATATTCGATTTCATTGAAGAAGGTGAATTCTGGGATTTCACCATAGCCATGAGACATGCGTTCCATGTAGTAACGAGCAAGCATTTGGCGGACAACGTAGAAGTAGTATTCACCACGACGATCCTTGTTCAAACCGAAATATTTGCCATCCAAGTAGGGAGCATAGTCCATATTGAAGTAGTACCAGAAGGCATTCCACTCCAAATCCTCGGTAAAGTACGACAATTCGGATTCCTTGTTGAAGAAGTACACATCACGAGTATAATCAACTGGCATGTAGAACATCTTAACATCGTGCATCATTTCCAAATATTTAGAGTCCTTGCTGAACATAAACATGTTGTCGCGCATCAAGAACTTATCAACACTGTACCAGTGCTCACCCATACCCATGAGTTTCCACCATTGCCACATCTTGAAGTCCTTGGTGTAGAAGTATTCGTAGTTGTCGAATTCCTTGAAGTATTTGGAGTAGTCCTTGTACATGAAGTCTTTGTATTCCTTTTCGTACATAACGTATTTGCTCCAAACGTCAAAGTCGAATTTCTCAGCTTCGTAGATGAATTTGCTGTTGAAGAAGTATTGAGGGAAGATTTCGTAGATGGTGGGCAACATCAAACCAACGAAATCATCACGGTGGATAACAGCCAATGTCAATGCTTGGACAAACATGCCTTCGTTGGCATACAAACGGGCCCAGCACACATTGCGTTGGAAGATTTCCCAAGTCTTGGCATAGTAGAAGAATTCAAACAAGCCATACATTTGCTCGAAGTGGGTATAGGACAAGGCACCAAAGAATTCTCCCTTGGGCAAAGTCACGCCATACTTGTAAGCCTTGTAGTATTTCTCCATGTAGCCATCATATTTTTCAGGGAACTAAAATTGGAGGGGTGTAAGAAAGTCATATTTGTAACTTTTTATTCTCATCTACTTACAACATAGTCATCCTTGTGGAATACGAAGGACTTGCCCAACTTGATGTATTCCTCAAACATCAATGGGTCCTCCACACGATACACAATCTCGAAGAGGAACTTCTGCTTGGCCAGAAAATCTTTATCGGCATATTTGGTAGCCTTCTTGGGAAGGGTGCCGGCCGCTACCAGGCCAATGATGGCCAGTAAGACAATGGCGATTTTCATTTTGTTTCTTCTGCAGCTATTCGTCAACTAAGGAAATCTGAAACTGTCCACGGATTAGTGAAGATCTTACGATCGCAACCAATACCTAAAGACTGCTACTGTTGTTCGAATTCTAAGATCGTTTTATACGATTTCGAGGCCGTTAAAAAACCAGGCTTATCATTCAGGTGTATAGGGCACATGCAAAATTATTTAATTGATATTCTATAATTTTGAGTGCATCTTTTGTCTTAAAGCTGCAGCTGATAAGAAGCTTGAAAATCGTAAAGTTGTGATTTCTAATCATTTGACCCTTTGTTGGTCTTTTTGATGGTTTTTGGTGAAACATATACTATACTCGTCAAGAATGTTCCACAAGAATATTCATATGCATTATTTATTATCTTCATCCTCAGCCATATATATTTTGTTTTTGTTAATTTAATGTTGAGGCAATATGACATAGCTTAGACAGCTCTCCTTATACCCGCCCATTTATGAATATTATATAATTCTTCTATGGCTTGCAAAGACCTTATCTATTTGATGTACACCTGTCTATAAGAAAAACAGATAAATAACACATGAATTAAATTTACTGAAAGTGCTTGGAAACAAGGAGGAAAACATGGAATACAGATAATAATATAATCTTGAGGTAACATAGGTATTACTGTGAAATGATGCATTCTACCAATTAAAAAAAAAAATAATATTTCTGAATTTTTCTTTCTGAAAGAATTAAGTGAATCGAAAATTATAAAAAATTATTGAAGTTTAACGTTTTAACAAGTCGAACCTCCGACTCCGAAAACAAAATCCTTTTTATTCTATGGAATTGAATTGGAATCGGTTCTATATATAAATCTGTCATTTTGGTCATTACTGTTATAAAAAGTTTACATTTTGAAAACGCATTTCAAGTGGAGGCAGCTCTTGATGTGACAGATTTTCAAGTTTTAATATGTTTGAAATAATTATAATGAACTTGTTTGAACTTGTCTAAAAATCATCTGGAAGAAAATAAGAACGCGAATACTTTCTACTCTCTCCTTTACATCAAAGCTCCAACGTTGTAAGGTGAATGACTTATCACAAACTATTTGCAGAAATTTCAACATAAGACCATGTTTTAAATTATAATATCTCTCGCTTGGAAAATATATACACTACATGTAATGTGATGTTAGCTTTGTAATGTCAGCTTTAAGAAACATGTAATTTCAAAAATATCATAATTTTCAAAAAAAATAAAAATAAATAAATAAATAAATAAAATAACTGATAATTGAATTAAAAACATTTAGTGCAAATTTTTTTATATCATCTAGACAGAAAAATTATTTTACAGAAATATATTTAACTAATTGTCCTGGTCCGCGTTGCTGGCCCTTCATTTAAGTTTTTAATGATAGAACAGTGTGGCTTGTTTGTTCGGGATACCGTAGTATTTTGTTGTTGCAAAATGGTCTGGCTTTATCCCTTTATTGTTGTTTTTATAAAAACAACGTTTGTTTATTAGTGGAGAACGATGGTAATGTTTACCAGGGGGTAAGGCAGGGAATATCTAGGTTTCGGAAAGAGCCTCCAATCCTCATCAGTTCCCTTGTTTTTGTGTGGGATATTCTCCCCAGAAGTTATTTTAAAAATAACTTCTATGACAAAAAACATTTTTTTTTACCCAAGTGACGAGATCGTAAGCTCAATAGAAGAGGAACCAAAGAATTAAATAAAACTAAAATTCTCTTGGAAAGTCTTCTAAATCTTACAATGATTAATTTTGAATTTTAAATCATGCGATATTTCAGTTTGAAACCAGGTCGGGCAGGACCGACTTTATGATACCATACACCACTTTGCATATTTAGTAAAGCTTCACATAACAAATAAAAGTTTTAATGGAGAATTTGTGAGAATTAAATCATACCAACCATGATTATAGTAATAATTAAAAGTCCGACGGAACTAATATATGGGAGGAATATCCTCCTCTGAATCGATTTGTAGTGAATTTGCCGAGGCATTTAAGCCTTTTCAATTCGGGCTTGTATTATCCATTTGGTGCACAATTAACTTGAAATCGGATAGATATATATGAGAGCTATATCTTCTGAACCGATCTCGATACAAATTGGCAAAGGTATTTATGAGCTGCATTTGATATATTTCCCCGAACATCGTTACTACGGAGTCATATTACGGGTATGCAGGGCAAATTCAACAAATAGAATGAACAATTTGACATATTCGCTTGGTGCACAATAAAAAGCAAATCGGACGCAGATATATATGGGAGCTATATCCAAATATTAACCGATCTCGGTAAAATTTAGCAATGGTATTTTTGAGTTATATTTGCTATATTTCCCCAAATATCGTTGTTACAGAGTGCATATTATGGCTGCGGAGGATAAAAATAACAAATCAGATGAACAATATATATGGGAGCTATATCTGTATCTGAACCGATTTCGATCAAATTTGGCATAATTATTTTCAGGTCCAATCTGGTCGAACGTGCAAAATACGGTCATACTATTTGGGTTGATGTTACAAGTTTGGTGCACAATATAAGGTAAATTGGACGAAAATACCTAAATTTTACCGATTATCTCCAATTTCAATAGGGTTTGTACTTGGGTCAAATAAATTATTTGTGCAAAATTTTATCTGAATCGGGCAATAAATGCGACCTGCGACCTTCACAAAAATACATGGACACGCGGACGGCCGAAGTCATTTGTATACTTATTCTTCATGTAGAAGTATCCCAACAAAAAAAAAATCAAAATAGTTCCCTTTTCTTATATAGGTGCTGTAAATTTATGCCGATCGATTAAAGATATTGTGAAGTCCCTAGACACAATTCCTAACCGAATAATCTCTAATGTTGAATTTATGCATCCCAATGAGTGACCTCTTGATGTTTTCACTAAAATGGTTCGAGTTTTTATATAGCTCTAGTACATTTTAAACAAAGAGCCTGGAATTTGATACTTGAGATACAATGGGTTATAGCAGACAATGGACTATAGCAAATAACTTCTATGTAATGTAGTACTCAATTTTACGTTTTAAGGTCCTTTCGATATAGAATGAAAAGCGAGTATGCCTAGTTTACATTCAGCCATATGGCTACAAATAATTTGATACGGCCAAAACGTACATAACTGAAGTAGCGGTTTTAGACTCTTGGTCTATTTGGCGACGTCGGTTTCAGGATATTTTGAGACGATCTAGCGATGTCCGTCCGTCTCTCTGGCTGGTGCACACGATATCTCTTCAATGGAGTATCCAATTTGGCCAAACTTAGTACCTCGTATTATTATTGTCAAACATAGATCGAGTTCGGAAATACACAATATCGGCCCACTCCATCAAGTGCCAAAATTTTTAATAACTATAATTGTTATTATATTTATTTCCACCAACACTGGATCTTATATAAAGAACGGATCACTCCTTCTGGTAACTATCTCACAACGGGTCAAAAATGTGATAATCATGAAGCTTATAAAACGCGAAATGAGCACCCGAAGTATTTCTATCAACAGAAGGTAAGGTGTGAAGATGGAATGTATAGGACCACTCCTCCCCATCAACCGGTTAAAATTTGAATAATTAAAACTGCCATAAAATACCAAATAAACATCCGACTCTTTTCAACTAACAGAAGATCTGGTGTGAAGACGGAAAATATCGGTTTCACACAATCCAATATTTTCATTCACACAAGACCAGGGGTGTATCGGCCCATTCTTTCTCGTACCTCCCCCACAAAAGGTTAAAATTTTGATGAACAATTATTAGCATAATATTTTATATGAATGTTCGATTTTCTTTAAATTTTGCACACCTCAATGTTTTCATCAGTATTAAGTAAAGTGCGAAATTTGAATATTTCGGTCTACGTAACTCGCACATATTTCAACAATTTCTAAAAATAATCACATGAGGAAATTGTGTCAATATATTCCAATTATGGCATCAGACTTAGCTCAGCTTCACAATGGACAACATTAGTCCACCATTACGGGAGCTCTCCTTAAAGGGTCAACAGTCAAAATATATTAAATAAACAAATATCGCAAAACCGTCAGATACTTTTTAATTTCTTATATGTTAAATGTGTATGTGTGTGCGATAACAACATGCGTGACAAGTGTAAATACAAATTGGAAATTAACCTGTTATTGTTTGGAGAATTTGTTCTAAAAACTAATTTAAGTCTGTCAGAACCTTGGCAGTTTCAAATAAAATAATTTGTTAGTCTATACTGATTTTAGCATTATAAATATCTACAGCATTTCATTCAAAATGTTTTGGAAAAGTTTAAATACATATTAACAACTTTAAAACACACCTTTTAACTACAGCAGCTAGATATTTATTATTTTTGTTTTATATTTATTTAAATATTCTGTATAAAGTGGAATATGTGTAATATTATCTCCATAATAGGTTGAACATGAATCATGACCTATTCTCTTCTTCAAATCTCTTTAAATGTTGTCTATAAGATTCCTTATCATTCTCAATCAAAATAATCTTTATGGCCATAATGCTAATGTGTACAATAATATTCATGTGCTTTTAAATTGTGTAATGTTTATTTAACCTCGACTAGGAGGTTCATATGAAATAAATGGACAAACTCTAATGATAAATTTATCATATTCCTCATATTAAACCTCAATGTACAAACAAACATGTTTTTTCTCTTTAAACATGCACTCTTTGTTGCAGTAAAATTAAAGTAATAAAGCCAGTTTTCATTATCTTCATTCATATTTTATGAGACATTGTCCGGATTCTGTACCTTATTTTAATTTAATTTTTAGAAGTGTTTATTTGCTCTAATTTTGAATTAAATTGAAAAATCGGTCAAAGTTAAAAAAAATATAGTTCTTATACATATATGTTCGTCCGATCCTAGAAATAAGTATGTTAAATGTAATGAAAATCGGTTCAGATATAGCTTTAGCTCTCATATACACCTATAGCTCTAAAACTTAGATCGAGTTCTGAAATGGGCAATATCAGTCCACTCCTTCTTGTACCTCCCCCACAAGAGGCCGAAATTCTCTATTAAAATATGTTGCTTCTTTGAAAGAAATCGAAATTATAATATTTTTTATCAGTTCTAGATCAGGAGGATTTTGCAACATACTATCGAATTCATATTTGAATTTATTAAAAACGATCTAAGTTGGTGTGATTTACCACTTATAAATTCCTCAAAAAAATGCTTATTTGTTATCGGTAGCTCCAATAATTATGCAAATTGGTATAGAGTATCATAAAATTGGTCCCGCTCAACTAGGGTGAGACAAAACTGCAACAAAGTCAAATGCCACAATTTTTACATTTTTTTAAAATTTTATTGAATGAAAGCAAAAAATGTCGGAAATAGAATAATATTTCAGAATACGTTTATATTTGTTCGATATGGTCACCTTTGGCTCGAATTATGGCCTTAAACGCTCAATGAAACCATCACACACTGCCCGAATGTTGCTCTGCGGTATTTTGGCCCATTCCCGGCGAAGCGATTGCTTGAGGTGATCGACACTTTGGTATTTTTTAGTGCCAACCTTGCTTTCCAAAATACTCCAGACACAATAGTCCAACGGTTTGGTATCTGGAGGTTTTGATGGTCATTGTGCGCTGGAAATGAAGCGATGAACCTTATTTTGTAACCATTCTTGGGTGGCGCGTTCTGAGTGCAATGTTTGCGTGCCCAAGGCTTTACACACCCTCCAGAATATTTCCGCGATAACATTCGGCATTTATTCTGATGCCACAGTCGATTAATACGAGCGGAGAGGGACCATCGACTATTATGGCGGCCAGCGCTTGAGTTCTGGTGGCCAACCGAAGGTGCACATTTTCAGCTGACCTCTTAGGCAAGTAAACACGATCATTGTTTTTGTTTACAAACTGCTGGACAACGAATATTTTTTCATCGGAGAAAACCATATTCAGCAGTTCACCACTTTCGGTCAAGTGAACCAACTCTTTAGCTCTTTGTAGTCTATTTTCTTTCTGTTGCGGTGCAAGTTCTTGCACTTTTTGGAATTTCAATGGCTTTCCTCGAGCTAATTTTTCAATATTTTTCGAATGGAATATTGCGATATATTCAGCTCACGAGCCATTTTTCGGCCGCTGCGACGCGGGTTTCAATCAAGTCGTTTTTTTACTTTTCGAATCATTTCTGCTGATGTTGCTGTTTTCTTCCGTCCACTTCCAGCACCAGCATCACAGTAACGAGCGATGGTACGAGACACAAAAGATTAATTTAACACATTTAAATTCTGGAGAGCTCTAACGATAGCCACTTGTGGTTTTCCAGCCAGATATAAAGAAATCACACTATCACGCTTCAATTCCATCACGAATAATTTTTTTTCTGGAAAATTCTCACCAAAATGCTTTTGTACGCTTGTAAACAATAAAAGGAGCTGTCACTGGAATAGTTTTAACAGCTGTCGGACGAGTGGCTTGGAAATGACATGCTAGCCATATTTTGGCGCCTATGGATATATAAGAAATGGTGTTGAAGAATTTAGTTATAATAATCCTTTGCAAGAGAATTGTTGAACGCGAACTGATTTAAGACCTGTAGTTTTTTAAAAGCTCATGTACCAAAAATCGCTTTTGCTATATGTTTAGAATAGAATCATAAAAGAAAATTTAAATTTGCCATGTATGTTTAATTACAAACAGTTTACTAGCTTGTCATTTTTCTTAACGCCTTGCAGATGCATTGTTTCAACACAAATATACACACGTTTATTGTAATCTTGCTTAATTGGACTTCTTCTCAAATGCTAGCATTGATAAGTACACAATATTTTAGGATACTCTTTATGGCCTCAATTATAACAAAATTCTTTTTTTTATTAAATTGTGTAATGTCTATTGTTTATTAATTTTTGATTCGTAAAGGTCAAACAGAAGATAATGAATTTTACTTTTTAATCTTAATGTTGGTCGACAATTTTCGACAGCTTTTACTAGATATTTCTTTTACAATTTAGGAATCATAATGTTTTTTTTTTTTTTGGAATATAAAGTTTTGAAATTGAACTTTATAAAAAGTATAATTTTACTTAATGTCGCAATTAACTGTTTTTTTCTTCTTATCATTGCAGGTAAATACAAAATTTGTTTCTATTGTACAACAAGGAAAACATGTTTTTTACTGCAAGGTTCGGTGAAAAGAGTCCAAGGATATTTATAAGGTAATGTAAACCGGATACTGGAGAAATTGAGTGATGCGCTTCCATGCGCTAACCAATACAGCGAATCCATGAATTTTAATTGTTAGGTACTTTGTGGAATTCTATTTGGGTACCAAAATATAGCATCGGTTGGATTTTTAATGCAAAAAAACGGCGAAATGTCAATTTTAATATAAAGCGAAAACTTTTCAAAACCATGACTCAGCCAAGCTCAATGCAACACAATAAAAAAACACACACACACAAATAAGTTTTCTAAACATTTTTATTAAAACATTGTAATTAAAATTTATTTTTTAAAACTTGTGGTAGTAGCTGTAATCAAATTTGCCAAAATTTTTATTCTCCTCCGGCTTGGAGAATTTTTCGAAAATATCTTCGTGATAGATTTTCACATCACTGAAGAAAATATTGGGTACAAAAAATGCATGTTCATCGATTTCACGATCAAATGGGTATCCATATGGTTTGTTATCAATGCGACGAACACCGGAACCAGCACCGCAATAAAAGGCAGCATCGTAATTAGTGGTGGCTTCAGCGGTACCATTAAATTCATAGACGAAGACGACAAACTGCATGGGCATACCTTTCTGCCAGCCACGTGGTAACAGTAAACGATCAGGAAATCCGCAAGGTGGTTCAACGAAATATCTGGACACTTCATGCTCGTCTTCCATTGCTGATACAATGAATTTATACAATTCTGTATAGGTTTTGCGATCATGTGTAAGCCAGAAATAATCCTTGGAGTTGCGTTGGACAGTGTTGAGTCCCGGCTTGAGTTCATAATAGAATTCATCGATTTCAATAAAGTTTTCACGATTCTCATTTAGGGATATAACACGACCAAATTCATCATTTTTGGGGCCATAGTAGGTACGTATTACCACCTTTTGGTTATTTTCGGATTTAATGGTAATATTGAATTCAAAATCCTTATGATTTAGGCGCATTTGTCGGGCCAATAGAGTTGTGTCCCATATAAAAGTGTCATTCACAAAATTCATTTTGTCATTTAATAAATTTGTGACATCGAAATCATATAGATCGAAATAGGTCACCAAATCGCTAACTTCAACTTTTTCGATGCTAACACCAGGTAAATGCAGTTCTTCTTGGCTATAGGGTGTGATAAAATTATGGAAGCGATTGAAAGTATTCGAAAGTTTTTTGAAGAACATATAGAACAATGGATCACGCATCATAGTTTCATAGTTCATAAAAACATTTGGATACACAAACTTGCTGTTTGCATCAACATTGGCAACATACATGTGAGCAAACATGTACCAAAAAGTGGCGAAATATTTATCATAATTGTCAACATTACCCTGCAATAGGTTGCCAATAATTTCAATAGCTTCTGGATCACGCATAGATATTTCCTTGCCATCACTGGTGGTGTAGTAGCCTTTTGTAATAATCCCTTCTACGCTCTTAAAAAAGTCCTCAACTTTATGCAAATATCCAAAAATACCATGAGTTGCAAATTCATAGTAGTTTTTCCTATACGAAAATCCCACGCCATTGCTGTGTATCAATTGGGGATTATAACCAGTTTTGATTTCAGTGAAAAATGAGAATTCTGGAATTTCACCATGGCCATGGGACAAACGTTCCAAATAATAGCGGGCAAGTATTTGACGCACGGTGTACACATAATATTCTCCGCGCCGATCTTTGTTCAAACCAAATGCTTCACCATCCAAAAAGGGTGCATAATCCAGATTGAAATAATACCAGAAAGCATTCCATTCCAAATCTTCGGTGAAATAGGATAAATCTGATTCCTCATTGTAGATCTCAATGTCGCGTGTATAATCTACGGGCATCCAAAACATGCGAACATTTTTGAACGCTGCCAAATGTTTGGAATCTTGATGAAAATACTCGACATTGTCACGTATCATAGAATGTTCCTCGGCATACCAGCGCTCTCCCAGGCCCATCAGTTTCCACCACTGCCACATTTTCCAATCTTTGGTATAGAAGTAATTATAGTTGTCAAATTTTTTGAAATAAGGCACATAATCCTTGTACATTATGTCCTTGTATTTTTTCTCGTACATGATGTTTTTTCTCCACACATCAAAATCGAATTTTTCCGCATTGTAAACAAATTTCCTGTTGAAAAAGTATTGAGGGAAAATTTCATAAATGGTTGGTAGCACCAAGCCCTGCAAGTCATCGCGATGTATTATGGCCAATGTTAGGGCTTGTACAAACATTCCTTCGTTGGCATGCATGCGGGCCCAGCAGACATTACGTTGGAAAATTTCCCAAGTTTTGGCATAGTACAAGAATTCAAATAATCCATACATTTCGTCAAATTGATTGTATGCCACTGCTCCGAAAAATCCTTTTTTGGGCAGAGTTGATCCATGTATATAGGCTGCATAATACTTATCCATATATCCTTTATATTCTGACGGGAGCTAAAGGGAAGACAAATAATATAAAAATGTTAAGTTTTTACATTAAAACGGTTTAAAATTTGGAACTCCTATATAAAAATTGTGGAATCTTTTATCCATCACACATACCTATGAATATAATATTTCCAAACATTATTCCAATAATTCTCGCTGATGATTTTTTATTCCAATAAAGAATTAAATAGTTCATCGACCCAAACAGTAGTGTTTCGAAGTTTAGGCAGAAAAAGTTTATATTATGTCGAGGATGATTGGCATTGTAAATGAGATCCATCGGCTCACGTACAGCAACCCAAGTAACAGTACCTTCAGAATTAAAATAGTTTAGATGTTGCAAACATAGTTTCCAACAAACTAAGTTATATTCCTTTACGAGTTTTGCCATAGAAAAGGTAATATCTTTAAACATATTTTATAGATGGTATTCCAGACAAAATTTCACTATAAATTTTTGAATAAATCATATCTCTAGGCTTAATAGATTTACTGAAATGTACATTTGAAATGTACAGGGTGAGATTAAAAAATTGCAACCAACTTCAGACAGTGACAGCTCATTACATTGTTTACAAGCGTGCAAAAGCATTTTTGTGAGAATTTTCAAGAAAAAAAGCCGCCATAACAGCCGATTGTCGCTCTCCGCTCTCATTAATCGAGCGTGGCATCATAATAAATGCCGAATATTATCGCGAAAATATTCTGGAGGGTGTATTAAAGCCTCGGTAACGCAAACATTTATAAAAAATGTAAAAATTATGGCTTTTGTCTTTGTTGCAGTTTTTTTATCTCAACCTGTATATTTTACTATTTAAAATTATGTGCTTTTACTGTTAATTTAATGCGTTTCCATTCAAAGCCAATTATACTGCAAAATAATTTTCCTTTCGACTCTTCCTTCTTCAAATGAAATTTAATATTACTTTCCAGTCGAAGGAAACTTATTCAAAATTTAAGAAATAATAATCTTTGATGAGACACAATGAAATTTTATTAAGAATATTTTTGTCTTTGGCATCATTCTTCAGAAATAAAGCGTTGAAGGATAATTTTTCCTAAATTCACATAAGGAAGTGCCTTAGTCCTATTTATTATTATTATTTATTTATTTTTTTTTTTTTGATGTTTTGTTGTGACCTATAGTAGAATATTTGAATATTTAATTTTTTTATAAAGAAAAAAATTGAGATCTGTTTTCTAGTAAAGTCAATTTTCCACAGATATGTGTTGAGGACGTATATTTTAGAGCAATAAACGTGAGGTATATAGACCCTTATTTTCAATCGATTTCTTTGTAAATTGGCAAAGTGCTTTCTGAGCGGCATATAACACTGGCAATATTTTGCGTGTAGATCACATGTAAAGGTACCCTCGATTTGAAGCAAAACCTAACATTTTGCAGCGGTTCTGTGAGGTCCTATATCAACAAAAATTTCCCGATCGAGCTCAGGTATCGAACAGTGTTTCTGGTAAAACATTACTCCAATAGTACGCCACACATATTTCTGCACAATTTTTTCCTGTCTTCGTTTTAATGTGTGCAGTGAAAAGGCACCGCTCACTCTTTTAAAGTTTCCTCACCAATGACCTGCACTTTGGAGATTCTGATACTTACAGAGAAGGAAAACACTTTGGTAAAGACCACCTGTACTCGGTATTTTGCAGATATACCAAATTGTTTATTATAAATACATTTGAGGTTCAAATGGACCACGCTCAAAACGTTCTTTTCTCATGGTACAGGGTGTCATAAAGGAATGTTCTTTTGCTTTAGGTGTGTGATCACTCACACTGCAAATCTTATCCTCTTTTTTGGGGTTTTTATTTTAAAATTGTTAGTCTAAATTTACTAACGTTAAATTATATATGCAGGGTCAAATTATTCTTACCTCATAGTCATCCTGGTTGAAAGAGAAAGTTTTACCCAATTTGATGTATTCCTCAAACATCAAAGGGTCCTCAATGCGGTAAACAATTTCAAAAAGAAATTTTTGCTTGTGCCAAAAATCTTTGTTGTCTTTTCCTTTCGTCGCCTGTACCAAGGCAATTATTGCCAGTAAAATAGAGATTGCTTTCATCGCAGCTCAGCTGAAAATTATGTTTGTATGCTGAACTACGAAACTTTTCTGAATCCCAATGACAAATCATCCCAACTTATATTGAGATCTCTCAATGCTTTATGTATGCAATCTTATCACAAACAGTAAGTTATTGCTTTTTCAAGTGTGTATAAAATTGATAAGATCAAAATAGCAGCTTTTTTTCTTTAAAAAATTCCCATACCCTTGTATACCCTTGTATCCCCATTCGAATCATTTTAATAAACAAAGCTATTAATTTGTTTTATTTAATTTTTATTATCTTTATTTTGCTTCTATTTCACAATACAACAACAAACTATAACACAGGCGTCCTTGAATTTAAAAGAAAAAAATTAGTAATTGTAGTAATAGCTATAATCAAAATGTCCGAATTTATCGTACTTGAAACCATAGTACTTTTCGAAGGTGTCTTCGTAGTAGATCTTAACGTCCTTGAAGTACATGTTGGGGACAAAGAATTCGAATTCATCGATTTCACGATCGAAGGGATAACCGAATGGTTTCTCATCAATGTGACGAACACCAGAACCAACACCACAGGAGTAGTTGGAGTTGTAGGAGTAAGGTTCGTACGAAGCAGTGTAGGGATAGACGAAGAAGAAGAATTGCATGGGCATACCCTTCTCCCAACCACGGGGCAAGACCAAACGGTCGGGGAAGCCGCAGAAGTTTTCGGCATAGTCCAAGGGGTATTCGTATTTACCTTCGTAGGCCATCATGACGAACTTGTACAATTCAGTGTAGGTGGTGCGGTCGTTGTAGGTCCATTGGAATTCCTTAGAGCTGCGCTTGAAGGTGTTGACACCAGCCTTCAATTCATAGTAGAATTCATCGATTTCTACAAAGTTTTCGCGATTTTCATTCAAAGAATACATGCGACCGAATTCGTCATATTTGGGACCCAAGAAGGCGCGTACAACAACCTTTTGATCCTTGTCCGATTTGATGGTGTATTCGAAATCGAAGTCTTTGTGGTTGAGACGCATTTGACGACCCAACAAAGTTTTGTCCCAGACGAAGTGACCATCAACGAAGGTCATCTTGTCGTTCAACAAGTTGGTGACATCGAAATCGAACAAATCGAAGTAGGTGACCAAATCGCTGACCTTAACGCTCTCAATTTCAACTCCAGGGAAGTACAAGTCCTTGTGGGTGTAGGGATCAATGTATTCGTAGAATTGGAAGAACACATCGGTGATCTTCTTGTAGATCATGTAGAACATGGGATCGCGCATCATGGTTTCGTAGTTCAAGAAGACACTGGGGTAAACGTAGAATTCGCTGTCATCGGTGTGGGCGAAGTACATATGGGCATACATGTACCAGAAGGAGGCGAAGTATTTGTCGTAGTTATCGTAATTGCCTTGCATGATGTCACCGAGGTATTCAATGGATTCAGGTTTGCGCATGTCAATCATCTTGCCATCATAGGTCTTGAAGTAGCCCTGGGTAATGATTTCTTCAACACGGGTAAAGAAGTTGATGATGTAGTACATGTAGTCGAAGTTGCCATAGGTCTCGTATTCGTAGTAGTTCTTGCGGTAAGAATAGCCAACACCGTTGTAGTTGATCAACTGAGGATCGTAACCGTATTCGACTTCAGTGAAGAAGGAGAATTCGGGAATTTCACCAAAGCCATGAGACAAACGTTCCATGTAGTAACGGGCGAGCATTTGACGGACAACATAGAAGTAGTATTCACCACGACGATCCTTCTTCAAACCGAATTCTTTGCCATCCATGTAGGGGAAGTACTCCATGTTGAAGTAGTACCAGAATGAATTCCACTCAACATCCTCTGTGAAGTAGGACAACTCAGATTCCTTGTTGAAGAAGTAAACGTCACGGGTGTAGTCAACAGGCATGTAGAACATCTTAACATCCTTGATCATGTCCAAGTATTTGGAGTCCTTGTTGAACATATACATATTGTCGCGCATCATGAAGTGTTCTTCGGCATACCAGTGTTCACCCATACCCATGAGTTTCCACCATTGCCACAACTTGAAGTCCTTGGTGTAGAAGTAGTAGTAGTTGTCGAATTCCTTGAAGTATTTGGAGTAGTCCTTGTACATGAAGTCTTTGTATTCCTTCTCGTACATGGCGTATTTGCTCCAGACATCGAAATCGAATTTCTCAGCTTCGTAGATGAATTTGCTGTTGAAGAAGTATTGAGGGAAGATTTCGTAGACGGCGGGCAACATCAAGCCTCCGAAGTCATCACGGTGCATAACGGCCAAAGTCAAAGCTTGAACAAACATGCCTTCGTTGAAGTACATACGGGCCCAGCAGACATTGCGTTGGAAGACATCCCAGTCCTTGGCATAGTAGAAGAATTCAAACAAGCCGTACATTTGTTCGAAGTGGGTGAAGGCCAAGGAACCGAAGTATTCACCCTTGGGCAAAGTCACGCCATATTTGTAGGCATTGTAGAATTTCTTCATATATTCGCTGTGGTGTTCAGGAAACTGAAGCAAAAAAATATTTGTATGATTATTTACATCTCTTTTGTACCTTATTATAGCTTACCGTGTAATCATCCTCGTGGTAGGTGAAAGTCTTGCCCAATTTGATGTACTCCTCGAACATCAAAGGATCCTCAACACGATAAACGATTTCGAATAGGAACTTTTGCTTGGCCAAAAAGTCCTTATCTGCGTATTTGGTTTCCTTTGTATGTGGGTAGGCACTAACAGCCACCAAGCCAATGATGGCCAATAAGGCGATGGCGATTTTCATTCTTTGGATTTTAGACTTCTACTTCTCGTATACTTGCAATGCTCTCCAGAAGTGAGACTGCTGACTTTTACCTGCCCACAACTGAATTTTTATACCATTTCGGACCATTCAAACGTGGCTCAATCTGCAGTGCTTATCACAATTAACTTTCATTTGACTTCTAGAAAATAAAGCATTTGTTGTTGGTGGCAATTTATGTTGCAGAACATCTGGAAATTTATTGACCAGATGAACTTATTTTTGAACATTGTCTCTTAAAGCAACGATAAGGGTGTAGACATATTTAATTGCGTATACATATGTTTAAAATAATCTATGCTTTTATGAGCGTTTCGGAATTTTAAAAATAACTTATGTTGTGATAAAGACAAACATACATCGCGTGTCGTTGAACCATAATTTTGTGCACACAGCATTGCCATTTGTTGATGGCGATTTTTTATGTATCAATCCGTATGTGAATAATTAAAATTTTAATGCATCGAGTTTACTTAAACGGAATATAAGGCGATAATTATGGACATACGCAGCTTTAAACAATCGTTGCAGCAAATGTCCTTCAATATCCGATAGGAAAAAAATCCGCTTTTGACATGTGTATATATTTAAAGACCAAGGACATATTTGGAATCGATTTTTTTCTTTAAAATCAAATCAAGAACTAAAAGTCATCACGTATTTTTGTCTGCATTTGAGATTGTCCGTGTATTTTGCAAATGACTTGAGGTGTCTGCTTTATATTGAGCTTCATATCCGACAGATATATGCGTTTCTTATTCGAAGTTTGTTAATCATTTATTGTAATGCACAATTCGACATATTTGTTAAGGTTTACTTACATTGCCTTGTATAAAAATACTGCTTAAATTTAATTATTAATTCCACTTTGGCGTGTCATTTTGTTATTACTTCCAGATAATATTTTGATTAGGAGAAAAGGAGGCAACAGCAACAAATTAATATCAACGACAAAAATGTTATTTATGTAGAATTTAAATATGTGTATTTCAAAATCTTCTTATATTGAGATAACGATTTTAAATGTCGCCAAGTCTAAAGTTAGGGCAATATTTAACTTTGAAAAATTATGCGTTATGACAGCAACATTCCATACGAACCTTTCGTAACTTGTGCGTGAGGTATCAGATATAGTCGACCAAAGTGTTCCATTTCATGCTTCATCAAATACAGATAATAAAATTGGTATGGCCAAAATTATCAGGTTTCTGGTTGAGAGACATGTATTTAAATATAGCAAGTTGTAAAGAATCACTGAATTGTTTCGCAATTTATGACAGATTTATGTATTGGAAATTGTGACCCTTTGTGGTTAAGGTACCAGAGGGGGTTAGCAGATATATATCATCTTCACAAGAGATCTTGTGTTAGCAAAAATGTTTGTATGTGGGAAATTTGAGGAGATAGATGGATGGATTTTGATTATTTCTCTTTCTTAGAATGTTTTGTTTTTCAATAACTTGAACCCTATGTGAGGGAGGTACCAAAAGAAATGGTGCGATCTCTACCATCTTTATAAGAGATCTTGTGTTGATGGAAATATTGAGATGTATCAAGTCTGAATGGAATCAGATGTTAATACCGTGTTTTATGAGCTTCATGAATTGTCTAAATTTTGAACCTTGCTGGGGGAGGTACCAAAAGGAGTCGACCACTATATACCATATTCATACCAGACCTTGGACTAATAAAAATATTGTGATATGTGTAATTTGGAGAGAACCAGATGCTTATTTCGGATTTCATGATCGTTATGGTTATTCAAAATATTGACCCTTTGTGGGGGAGTTACCAGGAATGGTCCGATATCTACCATCTTTATATAAGATTTTGTGTTTATGGAAATATTGAGATGTACAAAGCCTGAATAGAATCAGATGTTTATTTCGTGTTATATGAGCTTAATGAATTATCTAAATTTTTAACATTGCTGGGGGAGTTACCAAAAGGAGTCGCCCGATATATCCTATCTTCATATCAGACCTTGGACTAATAAAAATATTGTCATGTGTGTAATTTGAAGCTCTTATAACTGCGATGTAAGTGTCCGATTACTTGCACCGCAGTTTATAAGAGCTACAATTGTTCAAAATTTTAACCCTTTGTGGGGGATGTACTTGATGGAGTGGACCGATATTGTCCATTTTCGCACCTGACCTAGCACTAATGCACCATCTCCGAACTCGATCTAAGTTTGCCAATAATATTACGATGTACCAAGTTTGGACTAAATCGGATACTTCCTTCGATAGTTATCGTTCGCACCAGCCAGTTAGACAG